TTTCTCCATTCTTGCCTTGGTCTTCCATTTTCCTGCGTACCGTACCTGCGGTTTTGAGCTACACCCACAATGCACTAATCAGTCGCGTTCAGATGCGATTATTTGCAATTTGATCAACTTGTATACTTGAATTTGGAGAAAATCGGGGATAACCTGACGGTAAAGGAATTCTCTCCTCCAGCAGAATTCTGACATTTTTGTGCGTCTTCATGTTCCGAGGGGTATGTTTATGTTTATTGATTGTGAAATATCCAGTGATTTGCAGTTGCCTCTGTATTCGGTAGATTCTTTATTTTTAATAATTAACACACATCACCTAAGATTGTTTGCACAGGTTCGGGAGTTAAATTTTTGAACTATCATATTTTGAAGTAAACATGTAAACGTGCTGCTACATCATGATAGACTCTGTCTCCAGCAATTCGAATAAGTATCCATCGTCCTACATTTTAGTTGAGGATCGAATAGTCAGAATCAGGAACATTTTCTAGATTATTTTGAATAAATTGCAGAAACACAGTAGGGAATAGCTCGTTTGATGATTATGGAAGCTAAAGAGTTCACTTTTATGAAACTGATTACTATATTTAGTTGATCAAGGTATTTCCAGTGCATTAAGACATACAGTCCAACCCAGCTTCCTACAAAATGGCAATGGATATTGATTTATTAATGACCACAAATTCTTAGAATTCAACCCTCAAAGATAAGGGTTCTCACAACTCCCCTCTAGTGAGCTAAAGGAGATTGCACGGATTGTTATCTGTTGCTTTGGAGACACTATTTACCTCAACATTTGAAATCTAAATTAGTGAACTTTGCAGGACATTCTGCACTCTAATATTCCTTTTGCTATCTAGGTGCCTCGTATGTATGGTTTTAACTAATTGGATATATACAAGAGGAGAAGCAAATGAATTTCATGGGATCGTAGGTGGATTGTTGCAATTGAAGGTGGCTAATCGGAGTCAGCTATATATCATTTGATTTAGTGTGAAATATTGGAGTAATATTGGAGCCGACGCCCCAAAATGGGCTCGGCCGGCCCGGCTCCGGAGGTTTCCAGGCTGAGCCCGAGCCGGCAAGCCATTTTGCCATCCCTACTCGAGATAAGTGCTGGGACATTCACGGGAAACCAGCAAATTGGCAACCTAGAAAAAGGAAGGATGGGCGTGCCTATCAAACTCAATCTGACCAAGATAAAACTTTTAACTTGGTCCTACTCTTCCATTCAGCAAGGAATAGGTTGAACAACTATGTTGTCTCCTCAATCAACCATCTATCAATAAGCTCCATTGTCGGGTCATGATCAGTAGCTCAATCTAGTAAACCCCATTCAACCTTAAATTCGTTCACTCATTCGAAGAACCCTTGGATCATTGATTCAAGGGCCTCTAATTATATGACAAGTTGCTCTAACCTTTTTTACTCTTTATCTTCCTTGTTCTAATCATACCACTGTTAAAATTGCTGATGGATCTTTAACTTCAATTGCTGGAATTGGTAATATTAAATTGTCCTAGAATCTAGTTCTTAAATCTGTCTTCCATGTTACCGCCTTAAAATGCAACCTAATATCTGTTAGTAAAATTGCTTGTGACAATCACCGTGTTGCCAAATTCTTGCCTCTATCATGTCAATTTTAGGAACTACTATCAGGGAAAGATGATTTGCAGTGCTAGAGTTCATGATGGTCTTTATCACTTTGATGGTGATCAACCAAAGAGTCGACAAACTTTGGTGTCTGGTGTTGCTTCAATGTCTGTTTCTAGTAATAGGGAAATAATGTTATGGCATCATAGAATTGGCCATCCTAGTTTTTCATATTTGAAGCATTGTTCCCATCTTTATTTAATAATAAAAATTCTATTCCGTTTGAATGTGAAATTTGCCAACTTGCCAAACAGACTCATACCTCATTTTCTCCAAAACCATACATGTCATCCACACCATTCTCTTTAATCCAAAGTGACCTATGGGGACCATTCAAAATCACCACTTCTCATGGGAAAAAATGGTTAATTACATTAATTGATGATAACACACGCGCCACATGGGTTTATCTACTTAGGGAAAAATCTGAAACCAATCAAATATTTAAAATTTTTCATAAAATGATTCAAACCCAATTTCAAACTCATATTCGAACTCTAAGAACCGATAATGGAAAATAATATTTCAATTCCATTCTAGTCAATTATCCGTTGGAAAATGGGATTATGCATCAAAGTTCGTGTGTTAACACCCCACAACAAAATGGAGTGGCTGAAAGAAAAAATCGTGATTTGTTGGAAGTAGCCCATGCACTTATGTTTACCATGAATGTCCTAAAATACTTATAGGGAGATGCCGTATTAACCGCTACCTATCTCATAAACCGCTTACCTAACCGTATCATAAACTTTGAAACTTTTTTGTCGGTCCTCACCAAAAACTACCCACAAGTCTCTACATCCAATGCTCTTCCCCTCAAAACTTTTGGATGTATGGCCTTTGTCCATATTCATTCCCACAACGGAGATAAACTTGATCCCCGAGCTCAAAAAACCATCTTCATTGGCTACTCACCAACTCAAAAAGGTTATCATTGCTATTTTCCACAAAACAAGAAAATCTATGTTACGTGTGATGTCACATTCTTTGAGGATACTCCTTATTTCTCTCCAAACTCGCTTCGGGGGAGAAACAGGATGAAGCTTGTTGTCAATGAGACGCCCTTGACTTACTTAGATGCTCATACTATGTCTATTCCTGAGTCCGTTCAAACCAATTTTCCAATAAATGAACCACCAAATGGTACCCAACCTCATGTGCCTGACCATATACCTTTATTGGAAACAGGGTGAGAATCACATCATCTGCCTGATTGTGTACCTTTATTGGAAACAGGGGGAGAATTAACCATGCCTAATCAGCAAGAGTTAAGGGTCTACTCTAGAAGAAATGTCTTTCAAACAAATAAAGAGATTAATCATACTCATAGTTAAGAAGTTGAATCGATGGTAGATCCTCACTTGCCAAATGAGTCGGGTAAACCTAGTCCCAATCTTGATCTAGATGTACCAATAGCTCTCAGAAAGGGTGTTAGGTATTGTATTCAACATCCTATTTCTATGTTTATCTTCTATTCAAATCTATCACTTTCATTCCATGCCTTTACCTCGAATATTTCTAGTATGATAATTCCCAGGTCTATTGCATTATCTGTCCCTGAATGCAAAACTGCAGTTCTCGAGGAAATGCGTGCTCTCAAACAAAACAATACGTGGAGTTGGGTGGAAATGCCACAAGAAAAAAGTATTGTAGGGTGCAAATTGGTGTTTACAGTAAAGTATAAGGTTGGCGGTTCTGTGGAGAGACACAAGGCATATCTGGTGGCCAAAGACTATACTAAAACCTTCGCTCCTGTCGCAAAACTCAATACCATCTGAATTCTACTCTCATTGGCTGCTAATTTAGATTGACCCCTACATCAACTTGATATAAAAAAAGGGATTCCTAAATGGGGAGCTTGAATAAGAGGTTTAAATGTGTCAACCTCCGGGTTTTGAAGAAGATGTAGGGAGTCAAATTGTTTGTAAACTCAACAAATCTCTCTATGGTTTAAAACAATCCCTGCATGCTTGGTTTGACCATTTCTTGAAGGTAATCAAGAATGATGGTTATACTCAAGGACAATTTGATCATACCCCGTTTGTCAAACTCTCTGGAAAGGAGTAGATAACCAACATAATCATGTATGTTGATGATATCATTTTCACTGGAAATGATAGTGAAGAGACGGAAAAAATCAAACAAATGATGGCAAAAGAATTCGAACTTAAAGATCTTGGAGCATTGAGATACTTTCTGGGAATGGAATTCTCAAGGAGTAAAAAGGGTATTTTTAGAAGAAACTCGCATGATGGGATGTAAACCGAGTAAAACTCCAATTGAACTGGGTAATAAAGTAAAAATGCTTGAGGCAGGACCGGTCGATAAAGGAAACTATCAACGTCTTGTTGGAAAGGTCATTTATCTTTCTCATACAAGACCAGACATATCATATGCAGCGAGTTTAGTAAGCCAATATATGCACGCACCATGTCAAGGTCATCTCAATGTTGTATATAGAATCTTGAGATATTTAAAGCAATCACCAGGAAAAGGTCTATTTTTTTGCAAAGACAAATGATCAAAAGGTATTTTTTATTTATAGATGATAGATATTTTATCAAAGAGAAACTTGATGGAGATATTATTGGCATTGAGTATGAGCCAACATCACACCAACTAGCCGATATTCTCACAAAAGGACTAACTGAACAAACTCTTGATTTCCTCGTAGGCAAGCTTGGTCTCTTCAACATTTACAGCCAAACTTAAGGGGGAGTGTAGACGAAATCAAGTATTGTCTTATTTGATTTAGCACTTTGTATGTATAGCTAGCATTGATTTAGTATTTTTTATTTATAGCTTATAGGATTCTTTCCCTGTGAATTTGATATTTTAAGATAAATATCCCTGATTTTTTGGACTTTATTTTATTCCATTGTAGCCTAAAGGGCTGTATTATTCTTGAGTTAATACATATTGAAATTATCTCATCTCTGACTTTTTATAGCCCCCCAAAAAAAAAATCTATCAATTGATGAATAGTGTTTTTTTAATTCTAATTTTATTTTGTCTTGGTCTTGTCTTGTCTGGAATACTGGACAATTGATCAGGTTTATGACTGTGATGCTAGAGTTAATAATTACTGGATTAGGGACATCTGATGGTAATATAAACTATAAAGATTTACCCTTTTCTAACTTAGCATGACTTATTAACTAATAATGCTAAACATGTGCATAAGATTTTCATCTCATCAAACAAATTATTTATTCCAAACGCAGCATGGACTTGCTGGACACATATACTACAGTAACAAATCAAACACTCCTGAAACCTATGTACATAGTATTCTATTAGGTAGTCTTCAAAGCCCAGTCTTCATCAGCTCATTTGCACTATCATCTTTAGTTGGGTACAACTGTCCCAACACATCCAAGTCCGACTACAAAAAAGGCCACTGCCTGCAGTAGTAGATAGATGTAGAAATGATTGTTCCCATAGAACATGTTATACACAGCACAATGCAGCAAGCACATCCCTATTACAAGCTCCAAGATGTAGATCCTGTTTTAAAATCAAAATGCTCAGGTTAGTGCACAACAATGTCAAGGGACATTCTAAATGATGATTACTCCATTTGTGGATTTAATGTTTGATGCATAAAAGATTCTACTGGTTATTCCTCAAGAAAATAATAGAAGTTTTAACATAGTGGGTATGTATCTGTAGGGGAATTTGAGCGTTTGTATACCTTAATGATCTAAAAGACATCATGTTTTTATCTATAGCATGATTGGCCTTTCCAATTTCAATCACCAAACGTTTACTGATAAACAGTATTATGAAATGGTGAGTATGAAGCACATACTGGATATTATACCTTTCTCTTATGCGTGATCGTGGCCTCCTTGCTGTGTTGGCACTGAACTTTTGCTTCATCATATTGCCCAGCTTCTCTGTTACAATCCACTCATTAACTCTGTTGGCTTCAACGAGCCCTATAATAGCTGCTTTGGATCGATGAAGTGACATAACATTCTCGAATAATATCCAAAAGACGAGAAGAGGTAAAGATCTGTGACAAAGTAAGTGGGACTTCAAATTAATTATTCTTATTTCTTGGGAGATTTGTGAAAAATAGAAGAATAGAAATTGTATTTGGCTTATCTGGATCTGCATGCCTTATAGTGGTAATTGCATTGAGAATGGTTATGCATGCTGGAAGGTAAATTGCCAGTGGCCTTGGGAGGTGAACTTCTGGAACTAATATAGTTGCAGGTATTACAACGCAGTAAAAGAAAAATGTGACCCAGTGCGCGATGATCTTTCTTACGAAGAAGAATGCATATATCACGTGCCATTTCTTATACAGTGATACACGCTGCAAAGATCAGGAAGGAACTGTAGGAATATTCTCAGGGATATGCAAATTTAGAGGCATACCACTAGTTTATTGCTGATAGTAAAAGCGAGCAATTATAGATTTAATACCTCACAGGTGAGAATTTCTACAAACATCTTTCTGAAAAGATTAGCCGGTCCACATGACCAGCGATGTTGTTGATATCTGTACGCCTTAAACGTACTTGGTAGTTCATTTTTTACCTGATGGAAGGTAAATTGTGTTCAACTTAGTGGAATCTTTATGATACACTGCAGATAGTGTATCATAGTGAAAGTTTAGATGCTTACTTCGAGGTCACCCACAAAGAGGAATTTCCAGCCCTTGAGACCAGCTCTGACAGCAAGGTCCATGTCCTCTACCGTGGTTCTATCTTTCCACCCTCCTGCATCATTTATTGCTCGGATCCTCCAAACACCAGCAGTTCCTGCAATTCATGTCAAACATCTTAAGTCTGTTTCTTTACTTGTTGGCAAGAAATGAATTTGTTTAAAGAGAAACATGATATGCTGTTAACCATTGAATCCAAAGAACGAGCATGTTGAGGAGCCCACTTCTTGTTCTACACTGAAGTGATAGTCTAATGACATCTGTTGGAGCCGAGTCATCATACACTCATCTGCATTCACTGCAAAAATAAATTTATTGTCAATACCTTGAAAACATGCAAAATTTTTTAGAGCAACTGAAGCTGTTATGAGGGATATCCACTTTGGTTTACTTTGCCCCCTGTTTGGCCCAATTTTTTAAAACTCATTTTTCTTCCAACTCATTTTCAGCCACAAATTTTATGGGACCACAATTTTTATCAACTTTTTAACTACATATTTCATCAACTTTTGTCAAAATCTACTAAACGTGTGATTTTTAGCCAAACCAAATGGGGGCTTTATTTTCATTTCAAATTTAGAGTTACATATTAACTAAACCAATTACCTTGTCTTTTCACTATAATCTTCATTTTGTGGAATATGGCTTTATTTCACTATTGGAGCAACTGGTCAATCTAGTTAGACAGATCTTCAACTATAATATATATAGCACTGTAATAGGCCTTACCAAATTTCCATCTTGCCTGAACCAAGCCGAGTTCTGGGTTTTCAAGTAGGTAGGGGATAGTCCTCCAGAGAAAATCTTCCTGAGGCTGGAAGTCCGCATCAAAGATCACAACAAAATTACAATCTTCAACATAATCCTTTTTTAAGCCGTCTCGAAGAGCACCAGCCTTGTAACCATTCCTGTTGTTCCTTGTCTCATACTTAACATTCACCCCTTTCTTAATCCATTTTCGACACTCCAATTCCACCATTGCCTGCATATATATTCTACAGAATCATTGCACCGAGACATGATTTTACTAGAATTTATATTGAAGATTACATTTGGTTGAAAAGGATACCCTTAAGGCTTCATTGGTGGAGTCATCAAGAACTTGCACAATGAGTCGATCTGATGGCCAAGAAAGCCCACATACAGCTCCAATGGAAAGCTTGTAAACCTAGGCATAAAATAAGATTTTGGATTTATTTACTCATATCGAGTTTAATTTTTTTGAAATAGAAAATAAATCTTTCCTCTATTCTTTAAGTTTAATATTTGCTTAAGTATGAGCTCTCATACAACTATACAAGTTCTCACATGATTGATAGTGTGTTGGATGATGTACCCCAAAATGTTTGTCCACTGTGAGAAATGGACAATAGTGTTGTGCCTTGATGAAAAACTATCAAGAATTATGTTTATTTCATTTAATTTGCTTTTTTTTTTTGTGAAGCTTTCGGGTGGATACACATATTTTCTCTCTTTTATATACATTGATATTAGAGACATGAATATTGGGGATAAATCAATGCAGACCAACAACTTAGGTTGTGTCTTTTATAGGACTTATCTGTTCCTTATCTAGCCAGTGTTTTAGTAGTAAAACCTACCTTAAAAGGGAATCATCAAGCAAGCTGGAATTACATTGTACTAAATTGACAAATGATATGCTTTACCCAGTTATTAATGTGGTTTAAATGTTGACAACCGCGATCATATAGATGAACTATGTTGTGTCATCAAAGTAATGTTCCATGTCCATTTGGAAACTTCATCGCTTAAACATAAAAGAAAATTTCCTACCGGATATATACTACCTTATGATAGATGCACGAGAGTTGAAAGTTAGGAGGAAGGGGAAGCAATTTTATTTAAAATTTACTAAGCATGCATGACACTGGATTAATGATAAACTAAAAAGAGAAATAGGAGACTTTTATTTTAATCTCGTTCATTTATCTAAATAAGGATTATTAAACTTCTTGTAGAAAAAATACTTAAATCTTGTTGATCAAGCTTTCTTTCATCGTTGTTTCTTCTTCAGCAAGAAGTACGACGGCACACGGCCACTCAGACATGCATAGAGAGAAGTTTTGAAGGTACTTTTTTGTGATTTGTCAAAAATGATGTCTTTTAACCTTTTAAGTATCTAATTAATTTTTGGTTTTCACCAGGCATGATTCAGACACTCATTTTTTAGCTTTTAAATTCTATCTAATTCTTTTGGAAGGAAATATTATTGTTTTTGATTTTTTAAATTGAAAGTTGATCAAAAAAGTAAGGGTGTATGAATTGCTATCCAGCTTTAATAGTATGTATGTTCATGATTGAATAAATTTTGACCTGAAAGCTGTAAGAAGTTAGTATCAAAAGCACTACTGGGGCACGCCACTTGGATCTTTAGTTGCCTATCTGAAATGATAAAGGAATGCAGAATTTGTATGCCTCTGTAGACGTGTTCTATGTGCTTGATGCACATTTATGCCTAAAAGAAAGTATATATAGATACTAGAATTGCTGAAGATATTCTAGTGTTTACCTCTTTTTCGTTGAACATGGGGATTTGAACCAACACTGTAGGGTAGTTCTTGTTTCTATCTAGGTCTTCTTTTATGCTGTCTAGCTGGTACTTGGTGTATCTTTTCTTCCCAAAAAAATGGACAAATGTAATCACAATTGCCATGTAAACCCGTTCGATGAATAGCATAGCAGACATCACTATGCATATATAAACTGCAACACGTAGAATAGGTGCAATGATTGGCACTCGTATACTTTCCCAAAGATTGCTGAGACTTCTTGTTGCATCATAGATCTCATTCACATCTGGATCTCGAAAAACTATGTGTCTCATGGTGAAGATTGAGAATGAAATAAAGGAGAATGAAACTAATTTAGAGTCACACAAGAGAGTACTTATGAATTGAGTGAAATGCACCGATGCAGAAAGCTGTCACACCATGCTTCTGGCATTTTAAGTTTTTGCTTTAAATAGGCATAGGGAAACACATAGGTGTAAATAAGGACAAAATGTGGGGTTTAGGTGGAAGAATATAGAGGTGTGAGTAATCCACAAAAATGAATCTTCTTCGTTATGAGAGACACACGGTCTACATGCATGATATGTTGCTGCAACGTATCAATTGCAAGCTGGAATTCTGGCTTTTCCTGCCGATTCGGTTAAAGGATGAAAGTTAAATAATGCAGGTAAAAGATCGTTGTCAATTTTGTTAGTTGTTTGGGCAATGTCATTAAGGCAGAAAGTTGCACTTTTAGATTTACCTTTCATGTGCATTTAAGATGCGCCTCCCTATATTTTCTCTGACGTGCCAGAGAAGTTGAGTTTCAGCCTTTTGTGGCCTTTCCTTATTTTTAAAAATAATTTAATAACATTTTATTGGCATTTAGTATGATCTATCATTTACTTAGTCTTCACTATTTTACTCTTGGAATAAATTAATAAATCAAGGAGTAGAAGGAGAAGAAGAGTAAAACGAAAATAATGGATTCCAAATTTTGCTTTGATATAAAAATATTCAGGGAAGTAATTAGAATGGAAAAAGATGTTTAGCTTATATTCATGTGTTGTTCTTTTATATATGCTTGCCGAAACATGATTATTTAGTGTAGAAAGGTGACCCTGCACACATTTCATAATCTCCAACAAATATGCATCCTTTTTAATCTTTTGAACATATGCATGATTAGAGTACATGAATATTTTCCCTAATCATGCATATAACTATAATGTAACCTAAGGAGGTAAATGCTTACTTTTGTTTATTATAAATCTAATAAATTTCTATAGAGCTTGTTAGGGATGTGAAAAACAATTGTTAATTAGTGATCGTTGTCGAAAGATTTGGATTAACAGCTATAATATCCACGAGTCTTTGGCACTCTGATATCAGCTAGGATTTTATTACTGCACCATTGATAATTATGCATTTATTGCTGTTGTTGTAATCCTTTAGATTGATATTAAAGGTGAAGGAATTGATGCTGTTATCTTGCTGTAACTCCTAATATGTTCTGATTTTTCTTAAAATCTCCTTTTTTGTGTGCTATTATTTTTCACACATGAGATCTTTTAGTTATTAATACATCCATTCTCTGAATTTATTAGTTCGTTATATGTACTGCTCTACTATTCCCGCAAAGTAGTAGATATGCGACGTCGTTAAATTTGTAGAGCAATCAGATACCTATTTCAATAACGCAAATAATTTTTGAAACATTTTAACTGGAGCACGATGAAACCTCAAATGATAAACAACTAAGTTGATCGAACATTGACATGTCAATTTAAATTCTTTAAAATATAAAATTTATATTATTATAATTTTGTTTTTGTAGTATTTAATATAAGAAACAACACATGCCATGTCAGACATTTGCCCGAGGAATGCTCCTAAAGTATCCCTCTAGCTTTAGAAATTTTGAAAAGCATGTAAAAAGTAGGAGACGGCATGTGGCTTGTTGGAGCCATGTCATTGAGTGTCCGAGAAGTGTCGATCTCCTATACAACACTTTGTACATGGGCATGCCGTCCTAGTAAGCGTGTCCATGCATCATAGAATCACGGGAAAGAAAATTCCTGCATCCATGACATATTAGGTGCAAAGAATAACTACAAACATATTTTATGTTATGATCTTTATGAGACAGGAAGAATGGATCAACAGGAAAAAAATGAAAAGAATGAAGAAAAGAGGGAAGAAAACGTATTCTCTAGAGTCTTAGTATTGAACCTGAAAGGACATAACTACCTCCTGTGTTGAACAAAAAATATGCAGAACTTAACGAAACGATCGATGTTTGCTGCTCATGCTCTGGGATATCAAATATCCTTATTTTATAAAATGAACTAGGAAAGTTTGATATCCTTAAGCACATTCCTCGAACATAGAAATCAATCTATGCATAATAATTGATCGTCAATATCTTCATGTAAAAGCGGACATCTATAGCTTCATCTTTGACTCAAAACAATTCTTTAATAAATGTCTGTATTCGTGAATAATTTGTTCACAAATCAAAATGGTGGTAGTACAAGAAAAGTAGCAATATCGGAGAGAATCTATGGCAATGATTGAGCTTCCGAAGGAATAAAAAATGTAATAAAAGGCTGAGGGCCGTCTTGACATTAGCATCATATATTCATAAATATCTCGTCATTTAGACTTTTGTTTCCCCAGTCATAAATGATAATGAAAATCGGTAAAAGATCTATTACTAATTTGATCTATTTACAGCATGATTGTGGTTCAGTTTATAAAGCCAGAGAATGATTTGATCTATTTACAGTGAGGCATGAAGGTGGAGGTCATGAAATCCATTTTAACTGAGAGAATAGGATGTATACGGTAGAATCATAACCATAGAATATGACGTTTACTGAAGTGCATCCCTTGTCTCATACATTATGGGGATGATGAGACGGGATGTATTTTACATGTCAGATGGGCTTATGAGATTCATCACACAAAGAGCAACAGCTAGGCGTACTACAGGTCATGAATTCTACCTGAAATTTTGCATTCACTATTTGACACACTTTATTTCAGTTAAGAATAATAATTTGAACTTGAACAAGTGAACAATAAAATTTATAACTTACATTTAGCCCATGATTGGACTCCATTTTTCAAAAAAATGTATTTTTCAAAACTCATTTTCAACTACACATTCTTCCATAAAATAATATTACACTTAAACATAAACTTTTTCCTTATCTTTTAGTATCACTTTCTCCAAAAAATCACTATTTCAAAATATATTTTCCCCCAAAATGTCATTTTAATGAAACCCAAACAGGGGCTTAGTATATGCTAAATTTTCCATTTCTAATTAGCCCTTGTTTGGTGGCCTTTAGTTTAATTTAATTTACTTTAATTTGTTTCTCATATTTATTTTCAATCATACATTTATACAATAAAATATTCTACACATAAACCTAAATTTTTCCCCTAGTTTTTAACCATACATTCTCCAAAAAATAATATTCAAAACTTAGTTTTTTTCAAATTAAAGACCACCAAACAGGGACTTAATAGTAGTACACGAGAAGTTTTTCTATGTGGTATCCATGATTGGGTATAAATTGATATAGTTTGAGATATAGAATCAAGTTGCTTCACAAGAAATTTGTCAAGCACTAGAGATAATTCACTTATTGAGCATCTAGTATTAGAGAGCCTGTAAATGGGGCGACAAAAGCAAACTTGGATGGCAATATAACCTAGCAGATTTGATAAGTAGTTTTTAATGGTATGCAGTATACAAGTGCCATACTCTACCATATGATTCTAAATTGCTTACCTTTTAAATGATTGTATAGATCTCTAATGCTCTAACTTGGCATTTCGGTCGGTATATCTGTGTCAACATGACACAACATGGGTACTGGTATGAAATACAGGTCGGATCCTTCAATTTTCAAGCTGACACGGCAACCTAAAAAGGCTGACCGTGATAGAAAAAGATGAAAAAATAAAAGAAATGAAGGAAAAAATGGAAGCTAACCCTACCACGTTGATTTAGTCGGGTTTTAGTGTCTGTGGCCCCAAAGTTCATGGGCTTTAGAAAATTTCCGGCATCCACTGGAGAAGACGAGAGAAGCGGCCGGAGAAGATGAGAGAATTTTCAATTTTAAGGGTTTGGTCAAATTGTTTAAAGTGGGCCTTGTCACTTTTAAGTGGAACTAGACAATTTTAAAATGTAGGTCAAATTTTGTTAAGGTGGGTTTAGAAAAACCCTTTGGTTTACTTAAAATTTTAATAAAAATTAAGTTAAAGAAATTAAAAAATTACTTTAAATCAACGTAAAAAATTAAAAATATTATTTGAAACATGTACCCGTGTCCGAAATTTGGACTTTTTTAAGCCATGTTCCCGTATCCTACCTTTTAGAAAATAAAATATTCAAAACTTAGATACGTACTTGTATCTGATACCCGTATTTGAGTCCGAGTATTATAGGTAAAGATCTCGTTTCTCCCTTTTAAACATTTCTCCTTTCAAGGTTGCATTGGTTGGTTTGGTTATTATTTAATTTTTGGAATCATTCTTCACATTTACGGCACCTTAAAATTACCAAACATGAGCTTGTAAAAATTGTGCATTCAAAGGATCATTCCCAACTTGTACTCTAGTGATATGGGATTGGCAAAACTTTTTGATCAAAACTATCTTACAATATCTTCCCTAGATTTACAATTTGTAGTTGACAAGTAATCCCTTGCTATGGCTGATAACAATTGTTTTCTCTTATGTAGCTTTTTAAATTGTACAGAATGCATAAAAAGTAAACTTCTTAAGCTTTCTAAGTTCTGTTACCTTCATTTGAATATTAAAAACTATGTAATCTTATTTTTACAAGTATTACTTGTCAGTTTAAGCTGTTGTACTCTGTTCCTGTTACAGTATTTTTCTTGTTGGGTGTAGAAGCTAGATAATTGAGAAATCCGAATTTTATTGCTTGGAATTTTACGAGTTGTTACAACACACTCTACATTTTCCTTGAGTACAATGAGTAGCTACAACTCATTCAGTTTTTACTGTTTTAACAATAAATTTGCCGGGAAAAGTCAAAGACTAATTTGCAATAAAGACATTGGAATATGTTGAAAATTACTCTATTAAAGATAACTTTGGAACATGAAGCTTTTACCATGAAAAATTGGAGTCTTAGCATTGGAAGATGAAGTCTTGCCTTGAAAACCAGAAACTCCATTTTGAAATATCAAGTCTTAGCTTTCATTTGAGAATAATTTATAAATAGATAGAAATGAGTGGTGGATGTTATTCACAGGTCCATTAGATTGTATGGTTGAAAATGAAATTTGATCATTTA